TTTATATTACCTTGTGGTTTTTCTTTCTTTTCATTTATAAGACCATGAACACAAGAAAATATTCAACTTCTCAAACACATTGAACCCACTCTGACTCCAGGAAGAACAATTACCTGATGCTTTATTGATTTATAGAAAGGGAAAACATGCTGCAATATTAAAAAAGAAATATTTTCCCAATACCACTTTCTAAAAAAAAAAAAAAGAGGCTCAGTAATTTTATCATAAACCTCTGAGATGAAATAAGAGTTAAAGGAAATGTCTATAAATCAGTATCTTGCACAAGTACTACCCTTAACTCATTCTTCTCTTTTAAAAAAGCTACATAATATGGGAATACAGAAAAGCATAAAGCACATTTCCTGTCCTAAAGGTAACATAGCAATTTTATTATAGGTACTGTACTTTTTATTAAGTACTCCCTATGTTGTGGGTACTGTGTAAAATATTGTACATGTTTTATTTCCCTTGCTGCTCTAAGCAACCCCAGGTGTAGGTTCCTTACTATTATCTCTACTTTTGAGATGAGGAAAGAGGCACTAGAGAGTTTTTCACCTAAGATCATAGACCAAACAAAAGCTGGTGGAACTAGGACTCCAACCTAGGAACTCAGACTTCAAACCCCAGACCACATTGCCTTCCTCACTGGCAAGGTATGCTAAGTGGCTTTGGGTCAGTGTGACCAAGATACCTGACAACAACAACTTAGAAAAGGATTTCGTGACTCATGATTCAATCCATGGTCGATCCGACTCTATTACTCTGGGCCAGAAGTAAGGTAGAACTTCATGGCAAAAGGGTGCAACTGGGGAAAACTGCTCAGCTTCTGGCAGCCAAGAAGGGGGGAGGGGGGGAGGGGGAAAGAGAAAGAGAGAGAGAGAGAGAGAGAGAGAGAGAGAGAGAGAGAGAGGAGTCCAGAGGCACACCCACAATGAGGTACTTCCTTCAGCCACACCCCACTGGCCTACAGTTACTACACAATAGTCCATTCAAATTATTAATCCATCAACTGAATTAATCCACAGATGTAGTTCACCTCTAAACTTTCCTCCATTGCCTAACACATATGCTTTGGGGACATTAAAAGTCCACACCATAGCACTAGGTAATTGATTTAGATTCTAAAATCCCCTATGTCATTGTTTTAATGAAAAGTAATACAGGCCAACATCAAGAATGGTAAGGGAATTTAGGTTCTGTTCAAGAACTATAAAATTCACTCATTTGGGAAATTTATTTTGAAATTCATTTCAGAGTGTTCACCCAGTATAGACCAGTGTCCTCTATCCCCAGCTCCACATTACTGCTTTTTAAAATCCTGTACTATTTAAATCATCTCACTGTTGTCATTATTACTACATTTTCTATTGGCAAATGAGAACCAAACTATCTGTGTGTTCAAAACAAACATATATAAAATTAATGCTCCAAGATTTTGTGAAAGCTGGAAGAGAGTGAGTTAAAAATTGAATTGGAGTACTGAATGTGAGGCTCAAATCAAGGAGGAAAAAAAAAAAGAAAGTTGCTGTCCTTGAATTCTGGCCCACATTGAAGTTTTTGGTTCCAGCGTCTTTGTTGCTTTTTCTAATTTTTTGGCCCAGAGTTCATGTGCTTTCCTCTTCCCAGGGGTTTCACCAACCAGGTCTGGTTGGAAGCAATCCCAGTCAAAAGCAGAGGGCTGAGGATTATTGAAGTGGTTTTCTTTTTAATCACTTATAAAAACAGAGGCACAGCCAATCACCAGCCATGTGATTTGCTCCAAGTCACTGGGCCTCAAAATTCCCTGAAGAAAGCCAGAGTCAGCTCTTTCCCAACAAGGTAGTATTTTGAACTTCTCTCAGATTTGAGATTCCCAGAGCTCTGGGGGAGGGAGGAGGACAGAAAAAAATATTACCTTAACACATTAGTAAAGTGGACATCATAGTGACACTAGCATGCTCAAGCGCACTGTATGCTTGTGTGTCTCTAACTCCCTCCTTAGCACTTTGAAAATTCACCCTCACTGCATTTCCCAGTTGATGAAGCTTAGTGGTCTCCATTCCTTCCTCTCATCACCCCCTGATTTTTCCTTCTGTGAGGTTCGCAATCAGAAAGTATACTTTGAAAGCGAAATTAGGAAGAGGATATGAAGAGAGAGACCAAGATAAATCTGATTGCATTGGTCCTTAGCAAAATTTAATTAACTATCATTTATATAAACACTTCCCAGGCAATTGCAGGATAAAAGAAAGGCAATGAAAGAGATGAGGAAGATATCAGAACTTCATTGTTGTCCGTTCTTCGGCACTGTAAGTGGTTCCACATGACTTTCCTATTCCCTCTCCAAACAACAAAAGCCCGGATGATTAACACAAATGATCAATTTTATTTTAGTATATATTTGTGATTTTCAAGACTTTAGTCCAGCAGAAAATGTATGCTTGCACCTACCTCAACCACCCCACCCCTGCTGTAGAAAAAAGAAAGCAATCTGTAAACTCAAACCAAATGTTTTCTAGTTTTTCCCCCACTCTCACAAGTATCTGCAGATTTAGTCAAGCACAGGCTTAGAGCCAGCCACAGCCAGATTAACCCCAAGTTGTGGGAGTTGGCTGTTCGTTTGTGGCTTGCACCAAATGGGTATTAAAAGTAATGAACACAGAGAGAAATCCTGTAGGGCATGCCATGGTTTGTGTTTATGGCTCATTGGAACACTGTGGGTATTAGCAAGTTTTCTAGCATAGGCTTTTCTGCTTTTGCTCTCAATCCCCAACATATTTCAGTCTCCTTCCCTTTCTATTATCCAGTTCCTATGTTCTAAATCTATGTCTTCTCCCCCCAAAACTATACTATAACCAATTTGATACATGCTTTATTCTTTTTTTTTTTTTGAGGGGGGGTACTGGGGATTCAACTCAAGGGCACTCAACCACTGAGCTACATCCCCATCCCTATTTTGTACTTTATTTAGAGACGGGTCTCGCTGAGTTGCTTAGCGCCTCGCTTTTTACTGAGGCTGGCTTTGAACTGTCAATCCTTCAGTCTCAGCCTCCTGAGTTGCTGGGATTACAAGCATATGTCACCATGCCCAATAGATGCTTTTTGTTTCTTCCTAACAAGACTTCTTTAAAGCAGAGCATACCTCAGGTTATATCCTGAAGTGATGTGGACAATTTGAGAAATTTCAAATTCCATTACATATTTAAATTATTGTTATAATATTAAGAATCCATTCCATAAATTTATTAATATATAAAATCCAATTGACTATATCACTGATAAGAAGTATCTAAAACTTTGGTTGAAACATGCATACACCTTAAGGACACTGAAGAAGTGTTGCACATATAATTTCATGTTCAAAAATGTACATATGAATTTGAGATACTAAGAGAATTTGAAATTAAAGGGAATCAGTATTCCAACATCTCCTATTCACCGAGACTTTTGATTTTTGTTCAATAAGGAAATTGATGCCACTGTTACTTTGCTTAATGGAAAAAAGAAAACAGTATTTCAATAACTCAGATTATTTCAATAGAAATGTTTTATTTGTATTTCTATTAAAAACCCTAGGAATCATGTAGGTTTAAATAGCTTGCATAAAAGGAAACATCAAGAAAATTCTAGAAATCAAAAGTACCATGACACTCCCAACTTTCCCTCCAAGGTATCTCGAATCAGTTGAGTGGATCTTCTGAATAGAACTGAAATACATATGCGTCTACCCAATCTTAGGCTCATAACTGAATGATTTCCAAGTGAAATGAAATCTTTAGTGGAAGAAAAGAAGTCACTAGGAAATCCACAGTCATTACATGGTTAACATTAGTCAGTTAAATAATGAGGCTACCTCCTACTAAGGTCTAACTGTAAGGCTTTGTGATGATTTCTTTGCACATAGAAGCTAGGTACCAAATAAAGAACTGATTGGATTACAATTATAAGAGCCATTTGCAAAGTCCTAAATATACAATTGGCAGGGTTCCTTCAAGTTAAAAGTGCTAATCTCCAGTACACATCAGCCCTGGCTTGGCTTGTCTTGTTAGGTAAACAAAATGTGTCTTGCCTGTCATTGCCATAAAATATTAATGCACTGGAAGTCTCTAAACCTTGCTAAGCATAAGGCCTATTATCACACTTAAGAGCAAAGCAATCTAATAAATCGCTGGCTGTATAAAAACTAAGTCAGCTGGCAGAGACAGTAATCTCCCTAAGGGATAGTAAGAGCCTCATCTTCAACTACAGCAGCTGCAGTTCCAGAGAAATTATGTTTCTTCTGCTCAGTAAAAATGCATTTGTGCTGAATTCTGTTATTTAAACTCTAATGGAATCATTAGGAATATCCATACATTATGAGTAATAGAAAATTAACTAAGAAAATCATCTACAATGCTGTCATATAATAGGCAGAGTATTTTTATTAGGCATGCATTTTAAAGGGCTAAATCTGATATAAAATCAAGGTGCTTATTTCTAATACTTATTTTTAAAGAGCATGAACCCCACCTCATGCATAAATAATCATGTGTAAATGTTGAGTACTGAGCTGATATCCCTAATTGAAAGAAATTTACTTGTTCAGCCCTAGGCTGAGGTCCTTCAGGCAGTACATAAACATAAATGCAATACTGCTGCTAGCCACCTTAAAAACAATATAATATCACTGTTACATTGCAATTTTATGTTGCACCTAACCAATCCCTGAAAACTATAAGAAAAATATATATATATAAAATATATATATAGCTTTATATATATATATATATATATATATATATATATATAGCTTTACTAACTCCACCCCCACCCAAATTGAATTAATTAAATCAACATATTTCCAATAATTGAGAAAATATAGGCAAAGAGATTTTTTTAAATTGCAATAAGCAGTAAAAACTGCTTTCAAGTGTTCCATTTAAATCTCATAATAATTCATTAAGGTGAAAAAATAATTGACTTGCTCATAACCAGTTTGCAAGAGTTCTTGAATCCTGTGCAGACAATTTTGAATACCATACCTCCAAGAGCTGCTCTGTTGTTATTGTGCTGTTTCATTCTCTAATGACAATTTCAACTTCAAACACACTTCTTGAAATCTGAAAAACATTTAGCATACTAATATGTGATTGCTACCCATTAATTGTAGTCTGGGGTTACATGATTAATGAATGATGTGTGCTTGTCATATGACATTTAATAATAAAATGTGGACAATCCACATACATAAAAAAATGTGAACTAAAAATCTTACCATTTTTATAAGTAAAATTAGGATATGAAAATATATTTAAATCAAAAGGGTAAAAACATTTTATGGCTCAAGAATCACAGGCTTAAAAATTACAGGGACAATAATGGGGGCACCTAACAATCATTTCTTATATATTGATGACAGAGATTCAGTAAGGAACACAGTACTCAACTGTGTATTGTTTTATGGTGTTAATATTCTCAGTAAGGTCATGTCAATTTCTCTGTGTTGACAGAAATTTTAGTGCCAAAAAAGCTAAGTATAATTTTCATTGCAATTAATTGTGCATTATTTCATTCCTCAGAAAGAACTAAATCATGATGAATCAAATACACTAAGTCATTCATTCAGTCCTGTGAAAGGGACTGTAGGTATAGTTCAGCGGAGCGGCAGAATACTTGCCTTGCATGTACCAGGTTCTGGTTTGGATCACTAGCACTATACCAGAAAAAAGAAAAGAAAAGAAAAAAGTGTCTGAAAGTTACACAGTTACCTAATTATGCTCATAAGACTTACAGCAGACAGCAATATCAACCTCTCTGAATTCCTCTTATCTGTCTAGTCAGGACATATTTGTTGATACCTGCTTTGCATTCAACTTGTGACATGCTGACCTTACAAAAGCAATTAAGATTCAGTCTTCCTCAAAGTGCCCATAACTTTGGTTAAAAAAAAAAAGTAAAATAATGTACTCATATGTCAATAATAGAAACGAAGTACTCAGTGACACATAAATGTGTGTGTGTGTGTATATATATATATATATATATATATATATATATATATATATATTTCTTAATTTTCTGAAATCAAATCTAAATTCTAAGAGTCTATTTAACACTCTTAATGAAAAGGCACAAGCGGGGCATGGTTGCACACACCTGTAAATCCCAGCAGTTTGGGAGGCCAAGGCAGGAGGATCATAGGTTCAAAGCCAGACTCAGCAACTTAGCAAGGCTGTAAGCAACCTACTGAGACCCTGTCTAAAAATAAAAAATAAATAATAAAAAGGGCTGGGAATATGGCTCAGTGGTTAAGTGCCCTTGGATTCAATCTGTGGTACAAAAAAAAAAAAAAAAAAAAAAAGAGGGCACAATCAGTCATACTGGTATCTCATCTTTGCCTTCTTGGTCCCAAGGAAATGGCACATTACCATTTGAACTTTATGGAATGCTGTTCACTCTTGATATTGTGATTCATTCTGCTGCACTATGACAATCAAGCACTGCCCTGCCAAGCTGAGTCCCTTCCTTTGTGCAACCCCTCTAATCTTTGAACAAGAAAGCACTTAGTAAGCATTTCTATTGCTCCCCAATGTCTACATGAAGGCCCAACATCCAAAAGGGTTTTCATTCTATACCTCCCCCCACAGGCTACAGCACCACTTTGCCTGTCCTATACTTTCTTCTCTATTGAGAATGTTGCCATCCATTAGTACTAGCTTTTCTCACTTCCTACCATGTAAAAGATCTCCTATTGCTCTCTTGATGACTTCCTTTAACAGTTCAGTAAAATGGCATTTCCAAAATATATCATGTATATGGAAAATATTCCAAAATTCAAAAAATCCAAAATGCTTTTTGGTTCCAAGAATTTGGAGTAAGGGATACTCAACCTGTATTAACAATAGTTAACAGTAAAAACAGGTAGCCTCAAAGTCCTCAGCATATTTGACTCTATAGCCTTTTAGCCAGAAATAGCTAAATAAAATAATACATTCAAATATATGGTGATACAAAATGCACAGCAACATGACACACAGAATACAAAAAGAAAAAATTTCTTAGTTGTCCAAAAACAAATCTAATCAGGACTCTCAAGACTCCATTTGTTGGCAAGTGGGCACTATCAGTCATGCTGACTACCCTCTCCTTCACTGTCTCTGGTCTTGTGAAAATGGCAGAATGCCATAAGTCAATGCAGGAAGCACATTCCTAGGGTCATATGTTCATTCAAAGTGCTCAGTGTCAACAGAACTTTCTTGATTCACTTAAATCAATATTGATATATTCCTTGGGTCTAGTTATGTTGTCATATAAAGTATGCAAGAAAGGAGGGGAAATAGCTGTTGGGTAGGTCATCAAGAGTATCTACCACAGCCAAGTTTAAAAGAGGCCACCAAAAATATCAAGAAGAGATATGTAAAAGAGAAGCTACAAAAATATTAAGACTAGAAAAATCAACCTAATGTATGAATTTTGTAGAGAAAAAAAACAGGGAGACAAGATATGTTAAAAAAAATGACTTAAAATTTTCAGAACAAAAGAAAATTTTAAGAACTTAGATTTAAAGAATACATAATGGGAAACTAAAAACATTGGAATAATTCAACACTGAGATAGGTTATGCTGAAAAGTTAAAAACATCAAATAAAAATTAGAAATTTTTTAAAGCTCCAGAGAGGAAAATCCAAAAAGTGAGAATCAGAGTATTTTGAAATTCTCAAGGACAACCTTATATTTAAGTAGACCATCTGCTTTCAATGTACTGAAGGAGAGGCACACTAAACTAGAATTTTATTTCCAACTCAATGTTTTATTTAATTCTGAATGTAAAATAAAGACCTCTTCAGACACAAAAGGCTTCAAAAAGCTTATCATGTAAAAACCCCTTTGACATGTTCTCCAACAAGAAAAAAAAATGTATTCAGGAAGATGCTGAAAACATGAGAATTAAGGTGAATAAATATTTTGGGGAAATATTCTATTGTATAAAAAAGCAAAGACCATAAGAAAAGGAAAGACCTAAAAAGGAAGAAAATGTCCATAACAATCAAGAATGAAAACTTTAGATCACATTGAGGGTTTGGTTAATTTATTGAAATAGAATTCATAGATATTTATAAGCTTAAAAACTGATTAGAAAAATTAAGCTTCAGCATAAATCTGAATAAAGGATAACCACTTTTCAAACTAGCCAAAAATAGACTATATTTAGAAGATATTAGGAAAAGAGAAAAAAATTGAAGGTTGCAAAAGTAAAAACCTTAATAAATTGGAAAAAAACAGAAAGAATATCAAGTAGATTCCAATCTAATAGTAATTAAGAGAAATGAAAATGGTTGTGATCACTGATCAAAAGACTCCTTGATAGATTTTTTTTAATTCAAAAATATTAAACAGCAAAACACATGATATTTGAATAAAGAGGGATGGGCAAAAATGACTGTGTACATAGAAGAATGAAAGAATCAGACAAAATTGAAAGTAGAAATGATCTTGAAGAAAACACTAGACTTATGTATAATCATTGTGAATCTATGCAAATAACAATGTTACTGAAAAAGTTATACAACAACTACTGGCAAAACTATAAGGGAAATGTATACACCAATAATCACAGTTGAAGATTAGTAAGTAATAACTACTGATAAATCAAGCAGAGTCAATAAAGCTTATTGCTCATAGATTAAAGAAAAAAAAGTTCTAATAAATTTATGCCAACAGAGACTAAACATTTCCCTCAAGCAAAATTGGAAAATTTAGAAAAAGTTACCTTGAACAAAGCTATAAACTAGATCTCAGTAAATTCCTAAAAATCCATATCATACAGACTTTATCTATGAAGCAATAAAATTACAAATCAATGATAAAGACATAACTGAACAATCAATGCCTAGATGAAAATACTTCTCAATAACCCTTGGATTCAAGAAAGAAAATTTAGAAGGGAAATTATGAAAGTGTTAAAGTAGAAAGAGAGCAGGAATGCTGTATTTCAAAATATGATCATCCACATAATGCAGATCTAAAGCCATGTTAGGGTTTTTGTTGACCATAAATTCAGTATGGATCAACCTAGTGAATAAGCAAACACTGAACAAGCAACAAATGAGACTGACAATCTTTGTATACTGCAAATCCAGTATCTAAACTGAAGGAGGACAGATTTCTTACTTAATGTTGTATTCTAGGCTATATGCTAAAATGTAAAAGGAACTATGAGTGAAAATAGCAGAGAAGGGGACCAGAATGGAAAGATTCCTGACCCAACATCTTATTAGATAACTATTTAGAAGTTGAGGACACAGAAAAAGCATGAGCACACTGAGCCTCAAATCTGGCGGGAGTTGCCATCCACATGGTGGTGCAGGTACATGGCCCATATTAGCACGAAGGCAAAAGGGAGATCAATATCTGGGCGTTCTAGTAGACAGATATTGTAAGAAGATTTTTTTTTTAAACAAACAAATCCCCAACAACAAGAGTTGACTAAAAATAATTGCTCAAAAACAGCAACTTCTGACAAGGGCTGTCAAAGCCCAGTAGGAATCTGATACAGTAGGAATTCCTACAAAAAGCAGCCATGGTAGCACAAGCCACCTCTGCTCCCTTGTTCTCAAAATGTCTGAAGTTTTCTTTTTACTATCAAAACGACAGCTCTTTGAGAAGGGAATCAATTATCTTAATGGTTGGTTTGTGATCATGTACATGAAAAAAGTGATTTCTATTAAATGTGCCATTTTCACAATTATGGTCAAATTTCTGCTAGTAGATACCTTTGATGTAGTCTTGGACACATTTCTGTTTGATTTTCAAGTTCTGACTTAACCCTGTTTACTAGAAAGAGAATGATAAGAACTTATATGTTTTTTTTAAAGTTGTTTAGACAGATTACCTTTTAGTTTAGTTGTCAATGGACTTTTTAAATTATTTATTTATATGCAGTGCTGAGAATCAAACCCAGTGCTTCACACATGCTAGGCAAGAACTCTAACACTGAGCCACAATCCTAGCCCCTTAGCTTTCCTTCTGATCAATAGTGTTAGAAAATATTTCTTTCATAATACTATGAATTCTTATAGAAATAAAATAATAGAAATACCCATAATAGAAGTTATTGATATCAACTACTGTGTTAGATTTCTGCCACTATGATAAAACACCTGAGAAAAACAGCTCTAAAGACAAAATATTTATTTCGGGTCAGCGTTTCAGAAGTTTCAGTTCATAGTGGCTTGGCCCCATCAGTGGTAAGGCAGAACACCATGTCAGGAGGGTATGATGGAGCAAAGTTGCTTACCTCATGGTGATCAGGAAGAAGGGGGAGCGGTCAAGGGACAAAATACACCCTTCAAAAACATACTCTGTGATGCTCTTTCTCCAATTGTCCCCATATCCTAAAATTTCTACCACCTCCCAATAGCACCAAGCCTTCAACACACAAGCTTTTGGGGGACATTTCAGATCCAAATTCTAAAAACTGCTAATTAGACCAAAGTTCAGGAGATGAGATCTTTCAGCTCAAGGAGACAAAGCCAGATACCTTTTTAGAATGCATCTTCAATCATATAAGTTTGAGCAGCAAAGAATGAAGTATCCCTCCCTGAAGCATGGAAGTGCAGCATTCCATCAAACAGCTAGAAGGCAGGCAGCATTTTCATTCCTTTACTTCCTTCCTTCATTTATGCACAGTGACAAAGCTGTTGCATGTCCTGATGAAGAGCATGGACACTGGGGTAAGGCTAGGTGGCTCAGGTCCCACGTCGGTTACACGACAGGTACGAAGCCTTCCATAAGCCACTCTGTATCCCTGCACCTCTGTTGTGTAACCGGTGAAGTGAAAATGATAGTGATATCTACTTCCTGCATTGTTGTGAGGATTAAATGGCCATAGAAATAGAGGGAAAGAGCTATCAACAATAGATGACGATACATCTGCAGGGTGCCTAGAACGAAGACTGGCCCACGAGCTACTATGTTCCAGGTACTGGGCTAGATGCTGAGGGTACGAGAGTGAGTAAATGAAAAATGCCTCGTTATACAAGGCATTAGAGGCCGAATGGGAACGCTTTGCTTCATTCTGAGAATGCAGGGAAACTGTTGAAAGATTTGAAAGGAGGCAAGTTGCATTATTAGCTGCTTATTTTTAAGATAATTCTGGTTGTAGTGAGAAATCTGTAGCAAGAACGATAAGAGCAACATCATTCAATGATAAAAGCAGTCACAAAGGAATGCTGAAAGTTTCAAATTTTCTTATTAAAAAATGGTGTGTGTGTGCATGCATGTCTGCACACATACATGTTGGGGAGAAGAGGGGTGGCTGTGGACTGTGTGTGTGTGCTCACATTGTGACTAAATTATTTGTGGAATCAACTCTGCCTTTGGAATTGGAGTTAGTCATCCTCTGACACTTACATTTCTAAATGACCCCTAAGAATTTCCTCTCTTTGTGAAATGTGGACATAGAACATTTTTGTGAGGGCTGTATTTGAAAGGATCTCTTGACCATGAAGCACAATATAAACGTTCTAGTTGTTCTCATTATGTGGTAGAAGTGCAGTAAGAAACCAAATCCCAAGGACTCTTCTAGGATGTTTATTTTACTAAGGGAGAGTCATAAAGAGGGAAATGTGATATCACAAGGCAAGAAAAAGTGGTATGATTAATATCTGTGGTTACAAAGCAAATTTCCATTCAAGAATGTCCTTCATACATAATAGTGTTTCAAGGTTCCCAGTTTCCGACCAGCTGCATGTTTGTATCCAGCTTCCCTTCCTCAGGACCCTGATTCCAACCAACATTTTCTGCCACTGAGATATTGGTCCTAACATTTTTTTTTCTTTGTTTACTTTTTCACTTACCTTTACGTCCTCATGTCCCTCGGTATCCATCTCACACTGTTCCCCCCACACACACACACACTTTTCCCCTTCAGTTTACACCTATCCTACTTTTTCTACTACTGAAAGAAAAATAAAATCCTATAGTCCTGCAATACTTCCAAGCTACTGGTCTATTTCATTTCTTCGGCTGGAAGAGTATTGAATGCAATGTCTCAATTTTTTTTTTCCACTTTCTTTAGAATCCTTAGACATCCACTTCACCAATGACCTCCACTTTGTAAACACCAAGAGTCAGCTCTCATTTTACTTAATCATATCAGTAGCATTTTGTATTTTTATGCTTAGTAACAAACTATAAGTTTTGAGCTTAGCCCTTATTTGGGTCCTTTTCTATTGTGGTCACCTTGTCATGCTGACTACCTGTATGAAGCAAACACCTTTCTCCAATATCACTCTCATATAACATACACAGGTGCAAGGAACCTCACAAGTGTGCATATTTAGACTCATATGACAGGTCTTGTCTTCCTTATCCTATTTGACTATTTTCCTGCAGCAGGTATCACCTTTTGACAGCTACATATTTACTTGTTCATTTTTATTCTATCTCCTACCATTCAAGATCTTATAAGATCTATAAGGACAGAGCATTTACTTTATTCACTAAATCCTCAGCACCTACCAGTGTTTAATAAATAGTAGTCAACAAATTTTGTTTGAAACAATAAGTAAAATTAAGATTTAAATTTAGCAAATTTCTCAGAAGATAAAAAATAGTTGTTTAATTAGCAATGACAAATCAAACATGTTAACAAGTTATGATATGAATATTTCATATGTGTATTTATTCAATGTGGTAGTATTTATAACTTACTTGGTCTCTAAAATGAGTGAAGCAGCTAATACATATATGGTACTGCTATTTATAACCCGAGTACACAATATTCTGTCTTTTGTGAAGGAAAAAGATGCTGCTAATTTTGTTCATAAAATAAGAGTAATCCTTCAAATAGTGGAAGGAAACAGGCTAAAGAGCCTTTCTTCAAACAATAGACTTGTAATTTATTTTTATGTCATTAAAAAAAAGTGCACTAGTGGGCAATGTCAAGGTTAGGGGATATTTGAGTTAATAAAAACCAAGAGGATTCTTGATTTTAAGAGTGAAGATATCAAATGAGCCTCTGTGCTCTTTGCTAAACTTGTGCTTTTTTACTTTTAGTAGATCAACAAACATTTCCACATAATCTAAATGAATTCTGGAAATTTGCATGTTTTTTAAAAGTCATTTTTAAAAATTTTACTGTTGCCAATTCAGCATAAAAAGACAGGGGTTTTTCCCCCCTAATTCCAAATGCTTAGTCAAAACGTGCTATATCTGTACATATACTTATTTGTCTAACACTAAGTTTTTACCAAAAGGGAGGGAGGGAGGGAGGGAGGGGGGGAGAGAGAGAGAGAGAGAGAGAGAGAGATCTATTAATTTCTAGTAAGAAAGTATTTTTATGATGGCATCGGCTAGAGTCTGGAATAAAGTTCCCAAGGAAGTGGAGAGAAAGCTTTGAGACCATTAAAATAAAACCATACAAAACAGTGGAAAATGTACTAAATGTGCTATAGCATGAGGGAAAATGCTGCCTACATCCCCAGAGGCTACTGCTGAGAGCTGAATAGGCCTTTTCAATCTCCAGCCATTATAAGTCTAGGTAACTATTCTGAGAATAGATGAAAGAAGTGGTTTTTCTATCCATGTTGAGCTCCTATTAGCCCCTTGAGGAAATAGGGGTTTTGCAGAAAGTGTGAGTTCTCTAAGTGTTACTGAAATGACCTTGTTTAATTTCCTCATAAAAGGCAATCTAATAATAGCTACATCTTCTAATATTCACAAAGCTGCAAAGTTACACAAGTTAGAATAATTTTCCTTTGCTTGAACACCAAAATCCTTCTATGCCCTTGTCTTTCTTTTCCCAATGTGCCTCCCCCTTTATAGTCTATATTTGCTCTTTAATATTTGATTTCACATTTTCCAGTCGCCCTGATACAAAGCTGCAGTGTGAAGTTAAAAGATTCAAAAGAGAGAGAGGATATGGCTGCTACCCCATCATGAGCAAGTCCACTGAACTGTAAATCTACCCTGCATTTAATTACTCAACTAGACGGTGCGTTGATAAGGTCTCCAGAGTATTGTACTATCATGAGTGATTGAGTCTGCTTGCAGTAATAAGCTTTTCTTCAGTTAAGCCAAAAGGTTAAAAGTATACATGGAACTTGAAGGCAAGCATTGTTTTTAAATAGCTGCAAAACCAGAAGAATAACAGCACCTTCTTTTGAATGAATACCTCAGTTTCAAAACGTTCCATTGAAGGAGAAGAGTTTTGTGGAAAGAAGTGTGTTCCCTCAAACAAATTTACAAGTCAGGTCAGTAAGGAGGGTAGAAAGCCTGTCTTCCCCATGCCAACTTGTACCACATCCACAATATCATTAGCTTGTATTTGTATAATGAAAAGTGAAGACGATTGGACTTGTGAGATGAATCAGCAATTCCCAATTAGAGCAGTAAAATAAAACTGTTTTCTTTCTGAATCATTATGGAAGGCAAATAGAAAAGTGACAAATAGACTTTGTTCTCCATCAGTGATGGGAGGGGAATTTATGTTCGGAGCCAAATTTCCAAAGTAAGGCAAATGGGCTTGCCAGCAAAACTGTTCACACCCCCACAGAGACCACAAAACCCTGCAGCTGTAATTTCAGAACCATGCATGTGTATAAATCAAGTAATTGCACACCTAACTATCCACTTGAGCCTGTGTGCACGTTTTGTTGTTGTTGTTGTTGTTGTTTGCAGGTGCCCAAAGCACTTGTGACATTTGGCTTTGAAAACCAGGTTTAGTTTAATTGACAGGATATTACCAAATTCAAGCTGACTTGTATGGACACATCTCAAAATATGAGGGTGGCATACAGAATCAAGTAGCACATATGAATGTTCCATATGTGTGTTAATGCAAGGTCTTCGTAGCCAACTGAATTCTAAACAACAGGAAGGAACAAAATTAAAATGTCAGTTTTGAGTTCTAATTCATGAAAGTATTTTTCCAGAGCATCAATTAAATCACATCATTTTGACACATTCTTGCTATTTACTGAGGGAGGGTGGAAGAGAGACTTGAGTATTATTTCCTTATACATAATGATGTTTTAAGAAAGAACGAGAGGGTGTTTGGGGCCTTTTGGTTAGAAGAGCACACAGATATGTATTTTTGTGTTCCAGCTGGCAGAAGCCCCAGCAGACATCCACAGAGCAGCCAGCCAGCTGCCCAGGAAAGCAGACTCATGGCAACATAGACTCAATCCTGCATGTGCTCTTTCTATCCAGGAGAGATCCAGATTAGTGGGGCTTTAGAACAAGGAATTACTACTACTCCTCTACCAATGCTTTTCAGATTACTGTAAAGTAAAATTAATTTCAAATAAGTTTATCCCAAAATTCTGCTGCCATTCAACACACCCCTTGCCACAGTTTTTATCTTAAGAAAAACATGCATTAATTTCACAAAGATATTTAAACTGCCAACCTCTCAACTACCTACCAAGAAGATTATAGATTTAGGATTTTTAAATACACACACAGCACAAATCAGAAAATTACTAAAAGAATAACTCCAAAACTCACCAATGAACAGTAAGAAACTACAAGTTCTATCCCCCCATTTCACTCCACCTTTAAAGCACCCACTGATAATATTGCCACACAATAGAGAATTGATGGGGGTTCTCAATAGACTATGAGAAATTCCACCTCAGCATTTTTTGCATCTGGTTCAAATTTTACTACTGAAAATGAAGAAATAGAACCACAGGTCCTTTGAAAGTTAAAAAAAGAAAGAAAGCAAAAAGAACGTAGTACAGTAACTATAGGTAAAATCAATCTTAAGATAAAATGTCCCATAAGGATAATTTTTGAGACAAAAGTCAGAAGTCAACCAGAGCAAAGAAAGGAGAACTCTATACAAGAATTCTACCCAAAACAATGTGTGCAAAGTCTCATTGGTCTATCTGTGCCAAATTTCCATCCAGTAAGTCTTGTTTTCACAAAGTGATTATCAAAGAGACTCATTATATTTGCATGTAACACTAG